AGGAACTGCCTCACCGCTTCCAACCACGAATGAGAAACCCACCAGAACCCTGGTCAAGTCTGCAAGGAAACAGCGCAGGGCTGGCCTGGCATGTGGCTGGCACGGGCGCGATCCCCAGCACCCCACAGGGTCCAGGTCTCCGCCAGGAGTGACCCCTGAGTGCGGAGCTCTCAGGGGGTGGCTCCCCCAAACCAGGAAAATAGCCAACAGCCAGGAACAGATTTCAGGCTGATATTCTTTTGTATTGGGGCATTCACTTTTTCTCCATTGGGGGGCCACCCCCAGTGGTGTCAGGGAGACCATCTGGGGCTGAGCTCGGACCCGGGCTTCCCACATTCAAAGCTCACAGTTCACTCCACCAGGTCCTCTGCCGCCCAACCTGTAGGAGCCGTTTCTGGACTTCCAAGTTTTAAAGCCATAGGCTGTCTGGGGGTCGGGGGGATAGTACAGCGGGGACGTCACTTGCCTTGTACACGGCTAACCCAGATTTTTATTTTGTTTTGTTTTGTGTTTGTCCAGGTTCGAGTCCTCTGCCCCTCTCAGAGGGCCCAGCAAGCTACAAAGAGTATCTCCCCCGCAGGGCAAAGCCTGGCAAGCCTGGTAAGGTATTCGATATGCCAAACACAGTAACAAGTCTCACAATGTCACAATGTTACTGGGTCCACTTGAGCAAATCATGAACAATGGGAGGACAGTGCTACAGTGTTTTTGCTTTTTGGGTCACACCCAGCGATGTTCAGGGGTTACTCCTGGTTCTGTACTCAGGAATTACTCCTGGTGGTGCTTGGGGGACCACCAATGGGATGCTGGGGAGGGGTTCAAACACAGGTCGGCCGCGTGCCAGGCAAATGCCTTACCCACTATACTATCACTCCGGCCCCCAACCTAGGTTTAATCCCCAGCAACCCTGAAGGGTCCCCCAAGCCCGCCAGGAGTAAATCATAAACACAGAGCCAGGAGTAACCCCTTGGCATCACCGGGTGTGGCCACCAAGAACCAAAAACTAAATAAATAGGGCTGGAGCAATAGCACCGAGGGTAGGGAGTTTGCCTTGCACATGGCCGACCTGGGTTGGAATCCCAGCATCCCATATAGTCCCCTGAGCACTGCCAGGGGTAATTCCTGAGTGCATGAGCCAGGAGTAACCCCTGTGCATTGCCGAGTGTGACCCAAAAAGGAAAAAAAAACCTAAATACATAAAATGATCAACGGTCAGAAAAGGTGCAAGACCACAAAAGACTCAAAAGCGAAGCCATTTTCAAGAAATGGAGGGGGGGGGGAGAAGGGGGAGGGGAAGGTGCCAAGCCTGCCACCCCACCTCTTTCTTCATTTCCGCATCCTTCCCGCCGTGCACACACGTGACCGCCTCCGGGACCCGCCTCTGGGCAGCCAGCACCCCCCACACACACTTCCTCCCCTGCCACCTCAGGCCTTCGGAATCAAGAGGCTTCTCAGGGTGAGAACTGAAACCGCACTTGGTGTGAGTGAGGGGCTGGGAGACAGTCTCGTGAGGCCCACTTGCAGCCCTGAACGGGGAGAGGAAGCGGTTCAGCCAGCCAGCCCCCCACACTCCTGAGCAGACTCCCGCCTTGGGGAGGGCAGGGCACAGGGGTACAAGGGTGCCCTCCTCTGAGCCCCTGCAAAACCCAGCAGGAAGCCTGTGGACGGATGGAGTTCTCTCCTCCCTTGCTCCCCACAAACAGGGCTCTGCACCCTGAGGCTCAGTGCTTCCTGGCTAGAGACCTGGGTTCCATCCCCGGCATCACATAATCCAAAGAGTGCAGGGCCAGGAAGGGTGCTCAAGCAGCAGAAGAAAAAAGAAAAATCTGGGTGCTGGAGTGATAGCACAGCGGGGAGGGCATTGCCTTGCACTCAGCCAACCCGGGTTTGATTCCCAGCATCCCATAGGGTCCCCCAAGCACCACCAGGAGTAATTCCTGAGTGCAGAGCCAGGAGTAACCTCGGTGCATCGCCAGGTATGACCAAAAAAAAAAAAAAAAAAAAGAAGAGAAAAATCTACACGGAGACCCCAGATGCCCCTCAAGAACCCAGAGCACCTCTCTGGCTCATTTCAATCTTTCTTTTCCCCTTTTGATTTTTGGGCTCCATCCGGCAATGCTCAGGGCTTCCTCCTGGCTTCTGTGCTCAGGGATCACTCCTGGAGGGGCCCAGAGGAGCATATGGGGTACCGGGGACGGAACCCCAGTCAACCACGTGCCAGGCAAAATTTCCGGGGCCAAAGTCCTGCATTTCAGTTTGAAAGAAAAAGAATCACAGGTAGCCAGGACACACCGGGTGAACGCTGGCTCGGGGTGGAGACAGGGGTGTGTGTAGGGGTGGGGGGAAGTCCCTAACAGAAACACCACCAGCACAAGTCCCAAAGCATCCCACCGCACCCCCCGACAGAGTGAGGACATGGGCACGCTGAGATCCCTGACAGCCACCAGGCAGGAGAGGGCAAAAGACGGCAAGAGAGCAAGATACCCTGGTCTCCTTTGCAATGCAGGGCCCTTGACAGAGAGGAGGTGGGGGGGGGGGGGAGCCCACAACTGCGACCACAGGGCACCCGCCCAAGTGCTGCCTCAGATGGGGTGTGGTGGGATGAGATTAGTTGGGGAGAGGCAGCCCGGAAGGGGCCCGCTGCCTCCAAACTGCCTCTAGACAGGGTGAGGGCTGAAGCGCTGAGCTCATGCAGAGCATGCTGGAGACCCCGGGTTGATCCCAGGCACTGCTGAATCCCCTCCCCTTCCCAACCCCCACAGCAAACATCACTAGGAGCAACCCAGGAGCACTGATTGGGGAGTAGATTCTGAGTACCACCCGGGGTGGCCCCAAACAAGCAAACAAATAAAATCTAGTTAGTTGCCCGGTGGGCTTAGCAAGACCCTGGGGCTCGTGTCAAAATGCAGACCCTCAGAGAGAGAGAGAGAGAGAAGAAAAGCGCCAGCCATCCAGGCAAGCAGGGGGTGGGGGGTGATGGCAGGGAACCTGGGGACACTGGTGCTGGGAAGTGTGCACTGGTGGAGGGGTGGGTGCTGGAGCACTGTATGACTCAAATTCAATCACGAACAGCTTTGTAAGGGTCTGTCTCACCGTGATTCAATAAAAAAGTAAAAAAAAAAAATGTAGGCTTCTCTACCAGACACCTGATCTGCACAGCTGAGTTTGGGGGCAGGGGGGTGCGGAAGGGAAGGGGCACTGGAGTCCTTCGGGGAGGGATGGGTGTGACGCTGGAATTACCTACACCGGAAACCAGCATCGACAAGATTGTACGTCACAAAATCCCAATCAATAAAAAGAAAGTTTGGTGTTGGAATACTGTATGCCTGAAATTTAGTCATAAGGGTGTAACTCTGCAATTCACAGTGATTGCAAGGCCAGGAGAGACCCCTGAACATTGCCGGAGGTGGTCCCCAGACCAAAAATGAATACAAAATTTTGAAAAGGAAACAAAAACTTTTAAAGTTTTTTAGAAATGCAGTCCCAGGAGAGAGAGAGAGAGAGAGAGAGAGAGAGAGAGAGAGAGAGACAGACAGACAGAGAGACAGAGACAGAGAGAGGGGGGAGGGAGAGAAAAGAGGGAGGGGGAGAGAGAGAGAGAGAGAGAGAGAGAGAGAGAGAGAGAGAGAGAGAGAAGAGAGAGCGGGAGCAGTGGGGAGGGAGTTTGCCTTGCACACAACCAATCAGGGTTTAATCCTGGGCACCCCATATATCAGACCTGACCCTGAGCACAGAACCAGGAGTAACCCATGAGCACAGCTGGGCGTGGCCCAGAAACAGAAAAAGAAACACAGTCCTCCGTGGAGTGGGACTGGGGGCGGGGCCTGAAATTCTGTATCTCCACTGAACCCAGTGTCGGGGGGATGGGGTGGGGGAACCACGCTTGGGTAACTAGGCGCAGAACATCAGGGGGCTTCCCCCTGGAGCAGCCCTACCTTCTGGAAGGGCCTGGGGTCACCAGCGGGCAATACAGCCTTCCCTGGAGGGAATGATCTGGGAAGGGTGGGGAAAGCCCGTTTGGGTTCTCGGGGCTCAGGAAGCGACTGTCGCTGGTGCCTTAACCGCAGGGCTCTGCCTCCGTCTTACGATCACAAGCACGATCACAAGCACGTTCTCGGGACCTGCTACCTGTCTCCCTGCAAGAAGACCATGACCCGCGGCGAAGGTGTCTTACTCAGCTCTGCCCCGCCCACCCTTCCCCCAGCTCCCGGGGCCCCTGACACCTCTAGGGGAAAGGTTCCCGCAAACTAGGAGCGTCCCCAGCCCTGACTCATCCCTGCAGCGCCCGATCCCGCAGGCCCTGAGCCTTGAGCCCTGAGCCCCGGGCCCAGCCCGGCTCGGCTCCGTTCCAAGCCCGGACCGCTCCTCCGAGGGCCCCGCCCCCTCCGGGCTCCCGCTCGCCCGCAGGTGCTCCCGGCCCTCAGGTGTGGCCGGACCCTCATCCCTCGCGCGTGCCGCGTCGGCGTGACCTCGGCCACGAAGCGCGCGGGGCGCAAGGACGCCGTGGGCGGCCCCCGCGGATGCCCAAGGCGCGCGCATGGCCCCCTGCCTCCCCGCGGTGCCCGGCGCGCAGGAAAGGGTCGCGGAGCGCGGGGACGCCCCCGCGGATGCCCAGGACGCGCGTGTGGCTTCCTGCGTCCCGGACGGTGCCCGGCGCGCGGGAAGGGGTCGCGGGGCGCAGGGACGCCCCCGCGGATGCCCAGGTCGCGCGCGTGGCCCCCTGCCTCCCCACGGTGCCCGGCGTGCGGCAAGGGCGCGCGGATGCCCGGGGCGCGCGCGTGGCCCCCTACGTCCCCACCGTGCCCGGCGAGCGGGAAGGGGTCGCGGGGCGCAGGGACGCCCCCGCGGGCACCCAAGGCGCGCGCGTGGCCCCTGCGTCCCCGACGGTGCCCGGCGCGCGGGAAGGGGGCGCGGCGGGGGCGCGGCGCGCAGGCGGCCAAAGCGGGGGGTCTCGGCGGCCGCGCCCCCAGGAGTGGGTGTGGGGGCGGGGGGCGCCTCACCTTGTAAACCTTGCCGAAGGCGCCGTCCCCCAGCTCGCCCACTATCTCCCACACGTCGTTGGGGTCCACGTCCCGGCGGACGTGCTCGTATTCGCGGGATTTCCTCTTCTCGAAGTTGGACAGCCGCAGGATGCGGCGGAAATTGGCGAAAGCCATGGCCGAGGGGCGCGCGGCGCGGGGACCCGAGGCGCTCCCGGGCGCTCCCGGAACCGCGAGGCCACGGCGCCCCGGCCCCGCCGGCCCCCGGCCCCGCCCCGGGCGCGCGCCCCGCCCCGCCCCGCCCCGCCCCGCGGCCCCACCTGCCGCCCGCCGGCCCCGCCCCTGGCCGCGGGGCACGCTGGACACTGTAGTTCCCGGCCGGGGCCGGGGACCCACCGGGAGACCCCCGCGCCGCGCGGGCCCGGCCTGGCGGGGCTCAGCCGCGCCGCGGGGCTCCCGGAAGCCTCTCTCGGGCGCCGGAGAGGACGAGAAGTGGGCTGTGGCGAGTGTCCACTCCCCGTGGCCCCGGGGCCGGCCGGGGGAACCCTCTTCATCAGTGGGTCCGACCCGGAACGGCTCGTGGAGGCAGTCCGGCCCGCGCCCACTGTCCAGCGCGGCACGTCCCGGCTGGCCGAGCGCGCCCGCCGCGGGTCCCGAGCGCGCCCGATGCTGCGCCCTGGCGGCCGTGCGCGGTCACCGGAGCCGGGGTCCGCGGCGGGGGTCCCGCCGCCCCGCCGCACCCCCTCCCCGGGCTGCTCCTTCCTCCCACCGGCCGCCTGCGGGACTCGGGCTTCTTGAATAAAAGCTTTTATTCTCCACTTTCCCAGCCTCGAGAGCTCGGTACGAAGGGAGAACTGAACTCTGATCCCTCGGATCGTGCTGGGTCACTTGCCAGCCGCCCGTGTGCGTGCGGGATAGAGACCAGGGGACTTCAATCCGGGTCCGAGGGCAGAGTGCGGGGATGATCCAGCCCGCCTGCCAAGATGATGACGACCGGTCTCGTCTCTAGTCTTGGCCAGCCAGCCCCCCCCACCCCCGTGCAGGTGCAACGCTGAGGTTTCTGGCCCTTTGGGGGGCCCCTTGTTCCAAACCCTCCTTTGAAGGCTGCCCGAAAAACGCTGGGTCGTTTGCATTTGGAAAGGAAGTCGCTCCCCGGTGTCTGCAGTTTGAGAGGTCCCCCACCTCCACCCCGCCTCCCCCACTCCCCCGTGACCTAATTAGAAGTTTCTATTACCTATAGCCGGAAACGAGCTCAAAGTTATGCTCCCCAAAACTATACTCAAAACGATGCTCCCCAAAAACGCAGATTCAAGACAAGCTCCGGAGGGTTGCTTGAGCTGTCCAGGAGGTCAGGCACTTGGCTGCATGACCCAGGCCCCAGTTCAAATCCCAAACGGTGCATATGGGGTTTTTGCCTGAGCTCAGATCCAGAAATAACCCTCCTGGGCACCGCAGGGTGTGGCCCCAAAGCCAAAATAAACAAAATCTAAGGTCTGCACTAGGCAGCGCCCAATTCACAATAGCCAGAATAGAGAAACAATCCAAATGCCCAGCATAGACGGAGAAAGAAATTGTGGTTTCTGGGGCCAGGGAGACGGTTCCAAGGGCTGGGGCACATGTTTTGCATGCAGAAAAGCAGCCCCAGATTCGACCCCCAACATCACAGGGTCCCCCGGGCATATTCAACAGCTGAGAAGCCACACTTGCAATTATGTACTTCAAAATAACCACTTGTCGGGGCTGGAGCAATAGCACAGCAGGTAGGGCGTTTGCCTCGCACGCGGCCGACCCGGGTTCGATTCCCAGCATCCCATATGGTCCCCTGAGCACCGCCAGGGGTAATTCCTGAGTGCAGAGCCAGGAGTAACCCCTGTGCATCGCCAGGTGTGACCCCCCAAAAAATACCAACAAAATAACCAGTTGATCTGGAAGCAGGTACAGGTGAAAGGAAATTCGCCATCACTGTAAAAACAATGCATTTTAATTTGGAAGACTTTCCTGAGGCCAGGAAGAGGACAGGGCTTAAGGTGCTTGCCTTTCGTGCACAGAACCAGGAGTAGAGCAGTGTCAGGTACGGCAAAAAAGTAGAGCAAACATCTTTATTGCTGGGACTGCAGAGGTAGGACAGGGGTTAAATAAAGAGCTTGCCTGGCCTGTGACTGACCCCTCTCCAAACTCTGGCACTGCAAACTGTCCCCTGAGCACCGCCAGGAAAGGCCCTGAGCACCCCCACTCCCCCAAATAAAACAGAATACTTTATTGCTTGGAGATGACTCAGAAGACCAAACCCACACTTTGCATGCTGGAGGGCCAGTCTGATCTCCGGCACCACAAGGCCCCCTGAGAACAGACCTTGAGCTCTGTGCCAGGAGTAACCCCCTGAGAACCGCCGGGTGTGCCCCAAGACCCCCTTAGCCGAATGAAACAAAATCGTCTGTGACTGACGTGCAGTCAGGCCCTGCTCGGGACGGGCTGCGGAGTGAGTGGAAGGGGAAGTTCATTCTTTCTCTGGAGAGCACTTGCTGAAGAGGGTATAAAGCACACCTCTGTTTGTTAGACGGATCACTCCACTTCGGGGCGTGTTGGAAACTCCCACGATCAAAGAACAAAAAGGATCTTGACAATCCCCACTCAGCCCCCTCCTTTGGTTTCCGGGCCACGGCTCACACGTGCCTCTTCCCAAATTCCTTTCCAGATCCTTCGCTTGGGTTTGGACTGTTGGTCACAGTTCTCTGGAGTACCTTCCACGCACAGTTCTCAGGAACTGTATGAGGGTGGGAAGCGCCCCCTGGGGACCCCCTGACTGGCTCTCGCAGGCCTCCCGGAGCTGGAAGCCCTCTGAGACATGCTCTTGTCTCGTGACGGGGATACTGTCCGGCTAACAAGAGGTGTCAGATGGCAGACACAAAGAACGAGGCGGGTTTCCTAGGACGCCTCTGTGCCCTGACATTCTAGTTCCGAGGCAGGATTCTCACTTCTGCCTGTGGCCACAGCCCCAGCCGTGGGAGCCATGAAGCTGCGGGAAGAGTCGTTTCTCTGGTTCCTCTACCTGGACAAACTCTACTGCCTACTATCCCTGAAAAATGTGAAGGCTCTGATGGAGTATTTTCGCCTTCTTGACGTGCACCACAGGAACACCTTGAACGGTCGGTGTATTGGGACGGGCTTCCTCGAGGTCCTGTCCGGGAACAGCGGCAAAGCCAGAAACCTTTCTTTTTGGTGGTGGTGGTGGTGGTGGGGATTGAGCCCCACTTGCTGGTGCTTAGGGCTTACTCCTGGCTCTGTGCTCAGAGGGCACTTCGGTGGGCCCCAAGGGACCTTTTGTGGCAAAAGGCTATGAATAGGGACCAGCCTACTCATATCTCTCGGGTTTTTAAAGCCTTTTTTTTTTTTTTCCTAAACCAACATCTCTGAGATCGAATCTGCCTGCTCCCCTTGGTCCCTGGAAAAAACTGCTGTCATCTTGTTCTTTAAAGTCTCACCTTCCTCATCTATAAGTGGGGCTTCTAGTAAGGGGACCTCTCTCAAAACCGGGGGAGGGGGATAATTCAACAATGTATGAAATATGCTTAGCCTGGTACCTGAACACATCATAAGGACTTCAGAATATTCATTATTGGGTGCTGGAGAGACAGGACAGTGGGGAGGGCACTGACTTTGCAGACGACCAACCAGGGTTCAATACCTGACATCCTGTAGGGTCCTCCGAGCTCGCCCGGGAGCTCTATTCCTGGCCATACTTTACAAGTACTCTAGCCATCTATTTCCTGTGACCTGAGTGGGCTGGAGAGCTGGTACAGGTTCGAACCCTTGGCATTTCATAGGGTCCCCCTGAGCACTGCCCGAGGAATAGCCCCTGAACACCCGCTACTGGGTGTGGCCCCCAAAACACGAAACCAGATCTGTCCTCGTTCCTTCCACCTTCATCCTCTCCCCATTCCAAGCTCAGCTCTTCGCGTCTGGCCTAGATTTCCACACACTCCATCGCGGAGCTTACAACAGCCCAGCCTAGAGAGGAGAAAGCTGGGCCCGAGCCCAGGGCTGACTGACTTCAAAGCCCACATTCTTGGTCTCCCCGGAATGTGCTGAGAGGAGGCCGATCTCCCCGGTAACTGAATCACTCCCGGTGATGCAATGCCCCTGGGCTCGGCAGGCTCCTGTGTCTGGGTCACCCAGGGGGCGGAGAGCCTGACCTGAGAAGGGTTGGTGGCAGAGGCCTAGATGCCGCCTGGCAGGGAGGCAGGTGCCGTCCAGAGAGGTCTGATCGTGTCCTGCATTCCTGGTGGGGGAGGGACAGCAGCACCAGCACCCTCGGACCCTGACGTGGCTTCCCTGGTTCACGTGGACACAGCCGACGTCTGCTGGGCCCTCACACCCCACAGCCAGGCCACGTGCGCTCTCCCCAACCCTGGGGAAGCCACGGGGAGAAGGTTCCACTCAAGAGCCCCTACAGGTGCCCTTGTTTTCTTGTTCCCACCTTTCACAATTGCTTCACTTCTACTGGGCCACCCCCGAGATGCTCAGGGGTTACTCCTGGCTCTGCACTCGAGAATTACTCCTGGCGGTGCTCCAGTGGCCCTATTAGATGCTGGGGATCGAACCCGGGTTCGTCTGCGTGCAAAGCCTCCCCGCTGGACTGTGGCTCCCACCCGGCGGCCCAGGTCTTTGGATAACAGGGCGTTTGGGAGTCTATATGCCTGACAACAGCGACGTGTCCTCAGGGATCACTCCCAGTGGTGCTTGCGGGATTGGAACTCGGTCCCCCTGGTGCAAGGCCAGTGCCCTGCCCACTGTCCTCTCCCCGCAGCCTGAATCCTAGTTCTAACACCACAGGAAGAACAGAACGAGCAGTTCATGGAGCTGGCTGGAGGTGCAGACGGTCCCACACCCTTCTGCACAGCTCGGGTGTTGTTGTTGTTTGTTTGCTTTTGTAGGTCATACCCAGTGATGCTCAGGGGTTACTTCTGGCTCTTCACTCAGGAATTATTCCTGGCAGTGCTGGACCATATGGGATGCCGGGGATTGAACTTGGGTCGGACGCATGCAAGGCAAACGCCCTACCCGCTGTGCTATCGTTCTGGCCTCTGTTTTTTTTTTTTTTTTTTTTTTTTACCTTTTGGGTCACACTGGGCATTGCACAGGGGTTACTCCTGGCGGTGCTCGGGGGACCATCTGAGATGCTGGGAATCGAACCCGGGTCAGCTGCATGCAAGGCAAAATGCCCTACCCACTGTACTATTGCTCCATGACTCGGGTGTTTTTAGCCAGTCCTAAGTGACTGACCTGGCTGCGCCTGTCTCCACAGCCCTGAGGCAGTGAAGGACGGAGCCCTCCTGGGAGGCAAGGAGGGGAAGGGGAAACAGAACCAGCACCCACCCGTGCCCCCGTGGCCTGTGGTTCCCCGCTGCCTCCCCGGGACCCGGCCCCTGGGGGAGGCTCCCCCACGGCCGCTCCATCTCCTCATCCCTCACTCCACAGACATACTGTTCTATCACTTCCTGGCCCACGTGAGTGACCTGAGTAGGAGGCAGATAATGTGTGTGTTCGACATGCTGGACTGGACCGCCACGGGTGAGATCGGCTTCGACCAGTTCTACACGCTGGTGTGCATCCTGCTGGCACAGCACGTGAGGCCCGGGGCGGCCCTGGGGTGGGGGCACGGGAGCAAGGCTTTCCCCCACCCCCCCCACCCCACGGCCGGTGGCCCTTGGTCCCAAGTGTGTTTGAGTTCTTTTGCCTTTTCCCTCGCAACGGACAGGAACACAGTGGAGGTGACTCTGGGCTGGTGGCCGGGAAACGTCTCACCCACACCAGCTGCCACCCTGTGCGGGGCAGAGGCACCCTTTTGTCCTCAGCAGCATGCCCTTCCCGGGGCCTTCCTTTTGGTTCTCCTTTGGCCTTGCTGACTTTCTGGAAGGGATGAGTAACAGAGAAAAGTGCTCTTTGTGGGGTTCCCCTGGAGCTGGCTAGAGAGATTCTGGGCCAGGAACCTTCCTTTTCTTTTTTTTTTTTTTTTTTGCTTTTTGGGTCACACCCGGCGATGCTCAGGAGTTACTCCTGGCTCTGCACTCAGGAGTTACTCCTGACGGTGCTCGGGGGACCATATGGGATGCTGGGAATCGAACGCTGGTCAACCGCGTGCAAGGCTAACGCCCTCCACACTGTGCTATCGCTCCAGCCCGCAAGGGCCGAGAACCTTTTTAACACGAGTGCAGACAGTGGCGCCCACATGGGTCCGTGTTGGACGTGCCTGTCTCCCACAGAACCATCTGGAAGAGCAGTTTATCTTCCGTCACTCCCGCCCCGTGTTTGACCTGCTGGACCTGGACGGGGAGCGGAGGATTGGCGGGACCATCTTCCAAACCTACAACTTTCTCTTCAATATCAAAAAGCAGAAATTCGGCGAGATCTACCACGATTTCGACGTCACCGGTGACCGGGTAAGAGCAGGCTCCTAAGTGTGGCCTGCGAGGCTTTCTTCCTGAGGCCGGCGGACAGTGTCCTGTTGCCTGCTGTGGACACAGGCGGGGTGGGGTGCGGCTGTGAGGGTCCCGCCGTCCCCGGGACAGGAGTGGACTGGGCAGCCAAGGGGCCCCTTGCAGAACGACAGCAGCGTAGAGCCGGCCTTGATCTTGGGGCAGGGTCTATAGACTCAAATACGCAGAAAGGAAGAGATTCTGTGATGGGAACCAGAAGCAAGATTCCGAGAAAGCGAGAGCGAGGCAGTGATTTCTGACTGCTGAAGGAGCAGTTCCAGGTGGGGCAGGCGGGTGACTGGAACGCAAAGAGCCAAGAACTGTGTGTGCCCCATCTTTTACGATATCAGGTCTGATGCAGGAAGGCAAGACGGAGCCAAGGAAAAGGATTCCTTTAGTCAGTAACCGATTCTCCCTCCCAGTTCCTAGGCTACAATCAGAGTCCAACTGTGTCTGAATCACTGAGCCTCTTAGAGTTTCCAAGTTGGATATTTGTTCTTTTTTTGGGGGGGGGGGGCAGGGGAAGGTGGGTGGGAGCGGGGAGTCCTCCCAAGAAATGTTTAGAAGGCCCGGCGACCACATCCAACACTACTATGCCAAACCGGATGCATGGTTTAATGCCAGGGTGCAGGAATGTGATGCCAGGTACCACCAAGGCACACTGGGTACTGTGCGAACCAGGGTCCCCTGCATACTCATCCCAGCATAGTTATCTCTGGGACCCAGTTTCCAATCTTTTTTTTCTTTTGGCTTTTTTTGGGTCACACTGGCGATGCTCAGGGGTTAGTCCTGGCTCTGCACTCAGGAATTACTCCTGGCAGTGCTTGGGGGACCCTACGGGATGCCGGGAGATCCAACCCGGTTGGCCATGTGCAAGGCAAACGTCCTGCCCGCTGTGCTATCACTCCAGCTCCCCAGTTTCCAAACTTTTAAAATGAGAAGTGATTACTAGCCGGCTGTCGGCTGAAACAAGGTAAGAAACACTTGCTAAAATACTTTTCTCTCTCCCACCCACCACCACCAACCACCAAAAGCGTCTTAATTACAAGGAATTTAAGCTGTTTACTATATTCTTCATGGACAAATACCAAATGAAGCAGAAAGTGGAAGAGAAAAAGAAGCATAAGAAGCTTAGAAGGGACCATTTACATACGAACACAAATCTTCTGAAATTACAACCATCTCACCAGTCGACTGGAAGCCTTTCCACTGTGAACATACAAAAATAAACTCAGAGTGTCCTAGTGACGCGTGTTCCATTGACCGTTTCCTTCACTTCAGGGGCTGGAGCGATAGCACAGTGGTAGGACGTTTGCCTTGCACGCAGCCGACCCAGTGGCCCAGGTTCGATTCCTCCGCCCCTCTCGGAGAGCCTGGCAAGCTAACGGGAGTATCTTGCCTGCACGGCAAAGCCTGGCAAGCTCCCCGTGGCGTATTCCATATGCACAGTAACAACAAGTCTCACGATGGAGACGTTACTGGGCCCACTCAAGCAAATCGCTGAACAACGGGAGGACTGTGCTACAGTGCTTCACTTCAGAACTCTCTGGCCTGTCATGGGACGCACAATGCTGTATCATACAGTTCCCCTTTGTCCCCGTAATCTTTGAGGACTGTATCTGGGGGCAGGGGGGCCCTCACCTGGCATGTGACCAAGCTGGGTTGTGTCCCTGGCATTCCTTACAGTCTCCTGCACACTGCCAGGAGTTACCCCTGAGCGCAGAGCCAGGAGGAACCCAAGCATCACCAGGTGTGGCCCCCTCCAAAAAAAAAAAAAACTCAGATTATGGGTCTGGAGAGATAGCACAAGGAGGTAGGGCTTTTTTTTTTTTTCCTTTTTGGGTCCCATCAGGCGATGCATCGGGGTTACTCCTGGCTCTTCACTCAGGAGTACTCCTGGCGGTACTCGGGGGACCATATGGGATGGTGAGAATCGAACCTGGGTTGCCCTGCCCGACAGCTGTGCTGTCACTCCATCATGTATTCAGACTTTAGTGATGACAACTGCATTTGCTAGGCACTTCCTATGGGTCAGTCAGGTGATTTATAGGCATGACTTCATTTCTCCGCGTAACCTTGTACACTGGGTGTTTTCAACATACAGATCAGGAAATTAAAGCCGAGGGAGATGACGGGCCGTGCCCAGACCACAGATGCTCATAAACAGTGACACACGGTTTGAGGACCAGGAGTCAAATGCAAGGTCATTTAGACACGCTGACCTTTGCATAGTCAAGCGAGAGACGTAACTCGACTGCAGTTCCAGCACATCTGGAGTTTCCAGCTAGCATTTCACGGACTCAGAAATCCCGTCTGCTAATCACATCTCCTTTCACCACAAGTTTCTAAGGAACAAAGGAACAAGTTTAGCAATGAGAAAAATAAGCCTAATTTACCATACCCCGGGATTTCTTTTCTTTCCTCTTCTCTCTCTCTCTCTGAATATTAGTTTTTATTGAATGAAATGTACTTAGACATGAGGAGAGAGAAAAAGAAATAAGTGTTCGGGAGAGAGACCATGCTTCTGGAGAAAGGGGAAGGAGCAGAGAGACAGAGAGAGAGGGAGGGAGGGAGAGAGAGAGAAAGAGAGAGAGAGAGAGAGAGAGTTGAGAGAGAATGGAGAGCGAACGGGGACTTGGAAAGAGCGAGGCTCTGTCCCGTTTCCGGCCGTGCTGTGTCCTGAACCCAGGCCTGCAAACAGGCAAGAATGTGTCCGAGCACGGAGCCAAGCTGCCAGCCCAACCACGGATTTCTCAAGGACACATTGTGCAACATAACCGACCCAATTAATTCCAGATTACTTGGCAATGATCAAAACCATATTGCGAATGTGTGACCCAAAAGAATGCTGTTACCTAAGACTGTCCTAGCGATAATAAGAGTTGCTGTGGGGGTGTTTTGGCCACACCTGGCAGTGCTCAGGGCTACTCCCAGATGGGCACTCTGGGCTCCCTCTGCCAGGCGGTGACAAACACCTCGTCCGGGCCTCCAATACAGAGTGCACACCAGCCTGCTGAGCACGCTCTCTGCTCTGAAACCGTCATCCTCAAGTCAAACTGGTTAGAGTAGAAATCCTATCGATCACAATCAATACTCGATGAGACACGGGGTCTTGAGAGCTTCGAGCCCGAGAAATCCCTTTAGTCGCCAACATTCACTTTATTTATTTATTTGGCGTTTTTTGGGTCACACCCGGCAATGCTCAGGGGTTACTCCTGGCTCTGCACTCAGGAATTACCCCTGGCAGTGCTCAGGGGACCATATGGGATGCTGGGAATCGAACCCAGGTTGGCCGCGTGCAAGGCAAATGCCCTACCTGCTGTGCTATTGCTCCAGCCCCCCAACATTCACTTTAACTGGATGAGGGAAGGACCTCAGGCAGCCATGGGGACCAGGGAGTTGCCTGCCTCCCACTGGCCAGGGGCTGGTCTTCGTCTCTGATCTGGGTGAGAGTTTGCAGGTGCTTCTGAGACGAGAACTTTCTAGATGAAAAACACGGCTGAGCACTCATCCACCCTACACTGGCTTTTGCTACCAGACAGCCTGAGATCTGAAGGCAGGTTCTCGTAGGAGACTGTCCCAGAGAGTCCTAGGAAGGCTTCTTTTTTCCCAGTTTGCAGGGGGACAGTCCCTCAATAAAGGGCTTCCCCTACCCAACATAACCTCGAAAACAGCCACCTCTGATGACTTCAGAGCAGGGGCAGTGAAGAAGTACAAAGACAGATGTTAGCTGGGGATGGTGGCCCAGTGTATTGTCAGTGCCCCAAAGGATGGCACCACAATAAACAGACAGAGTAGGCATTAATTCTGGCTAAATTTTACACCGAAAGTTATTCCAGTGCTTTATTTAAACTGATTCAAAGAAATTAACTTTAGATTTGACGGCAGATGCTCGGGGGGACCTGGTACTACAGTTTTTTGTTGTTTGGGGGTCATACCCAGTGGTGCTCAGGAGTTATTTCTGGCTCTGTACTCAAGTGACATCTCTTGGTGCTTGGAGAACAAAATGTGAGACCAGGGACTGGACTGTTGTCGGCTGCGTGCAAGGCAAGTGACTAACTCTGGCCCCAGGTACTATAGTTTTTCTTTTTTTTTAATTTTTGTTTTTTTTTTAATTAGCGAGACACCATGAGGTGGTTGTAGACTTACAAACTTTCTTGTTTGGTTTTCAGTTATACAATGATCAAGTACCCATCCCTCCACCAGTGCCCATTCTCCACCACCAATGAACCCAGTGGCCCTCCCATCCCCCAACCCCCCACCCCATCCCACCTCTATGGCAGGGCATTCCCCTTTGCTCTCTCTCTCCTTTAGGGTGTTGTGGTTTGCAATAGAGGTATTGAGTGCCCATTGTGTTCGGTCTATAAACTACATTAGCACGCGTCTCACATCCCCAGCGAGTCCTCCAAACACCTTTTACTTGGTGTTCCCTTCTCTATCTGAGCTGCATTTTCCCCCAGCATGTGCTGCCGGCTTCCAAGCGGTACTATAGTTTTTCTGAGCTGTGAGTGGCCCCGAGTCGGAGCAGCAGCAACAAAACGAAATCCAAATGCATCAATAAAATACTTGAAGGACTAGGAGAACTCTCTCTCTCTCTCTCTCCATTCCTGGTGGGGTGGGGGGGCTGGGCATGGTTCAGGGGGCCTCACCCAGGCAAGTCCCACCCCAGCCCTACTTCACTGTGCTTGCTTTGCAGGGGAAACCTTTAATCACATGCACTGAGATGTGTGTGGGGATGGCTGTACTTTTACTGCACCATAGTTAGGCCCGAGTCCCTTGGTCCACGGAGCCTACGTCTGTCCAGCGGCCTGAGGACGAGTGGCAGAGTGACACTTGCAGGGGTGAGGGAAGGGCAGGACTGTTGGCAGAACACTCGTTTTTGGGACCACGGTGCCACCGTGGCCTGCGTTGGCTGCCAAGATGCGAGGATGAAGCCCACAGGCAAGAAATTGCTCTTCAAGTAGAACTGAGCCCCCGGCTGGCCTGGCCAGCCTCACACCAAAAACAAAGGCTACCAAAGGTCCGATCAGCTTGGCCACGGAGACAGGCAGGGCCCCATGAAGGTCGCCCTGCCTGGCCATGGAGCTGAGCAGCTGCCATCCTTCCACGAGCTAAGTCATGGCATTTGTGTGAGAGGTGACACGAGGCATGCTGGCTGATCTGCTCAACTGCTAAGAAAAGACTATTTGCAAAGTCTCATCTTAAAGACTGTCTAGGGCAAGGGATGAAGCTTGGCAGCTGAGGGCCTGCCACACATGTGAGGGTCTGGCTTCCTTCCATCTTTGGCATCACAAAAAATGAAGTAAAAATTTTAAAATGTGACTGATTTTTTTTTCATACCAAGGGGGAAGAGAAATATAAAAATGATTCTGGGCCACAGCAATAGTACAGCGGGGAGGGTGCTTGCATTGTACACGGCCAACCTGGGTTTGATCCCCAGCACCACACAGGGTCCCTGAACATCGCTGGGAGCAACTCCTGAGTGCAGACCCAGGAGGAACCCCTGAGCATCGCCATTTTTGTTTGGTGTGGCCCCCAAACAAAAAATGAACAAAAACTTGAGGAACTATCAGAAAAAGTGAGAATAGCTATCTTGGCAGGGGTGAGGAAGCAGCTTCCCTGATATTCCCTGTTACCAAAATACACTCCAGACAATTAAATTATCAAAAACCCAAAAAGCAAATTAACAACGGGGGTCAGGGAGGAAGCTCAAAGGGCCAGGGTGCGTGCTTTGTGTGCTGGTGGCCAGGTTTGGTCCCCAGGCGGTGCCCTGAGCATTAAGCAGTGAGTGGCCTCTGGACACTGCCATGAGCAGCCCCAAAACCAAACTAAAAAATAAAAAACCCCAAGTGTAAACTCTAAATAATAATGGTGCGTCTATGCTGAAAGTAGGCTATAGACAGAACATGATTGCCACTCAATGCCTCTTTTGCAGATCACAACACCCAGAAGGAGAAAGAGAACAAAGGGGAATGCCTTGCCACAGAGGCAGGGTGGGATGGGGGGGGGGGGATGGGGGTGGGAGGGATACTGGGATCCATGGTGATGGAAAATGGGCACTGGTGGAGGGATGGGTATTTGATCATTGTATAATCGAAACCCAAGCCAAAAATATGTAAGTCTACAACTGTACCTCATGGTGTTTCACTAATAAAAATTTAAAAATAAATAAATAAAAAATGCCCCCCAAGACTTAACACATTGTCATCTGCCCCACAGGTAGGGGGAGGGTGTGGGACGGGGGTATACTGGGGATTTTGGTGGTAGATAGTGGGCACTGGTGAAGGTAGGGGTGTTTCATTGTATGACCGAGACTTAAACCCAAAAGCTTTGTAACTGCTCTCACGGTGATTCAATAAATAAAATTATAAAAAGTGGAAAAAAAAAGGAAGGCGGAGTTCATGCACAATTCAATCAGCCTAATCAGTGGCTGAATAAATAGCGGAACTCCTACATAAAAAAAAAAAAAAACCCCACATTGTGGGGGCCACACCCAGCAGTGCTCAGAGGCTACTCCTGGCCGAGTGGCCAGAGGCCAGGCCTGCTGGGGGGACCGTGAGGTGCCAGCGAGTGCACCCCAGAGTCCTGCTCGCAAAGCATGCGCTCCAGCCCACTAAACTGGCTCAACACCCTCCCGGGGGTGGGGGTGGTACTCTCGAAACAGGGGAGACCCCGAAGCCATAAAACAAAAGGGTTAATAGCTCTGAAGATGCAAAACTTCAAATTTGAACCCGGTCAATCACACCCATCAAAAGCAAGTGCTGGGCTGGAGAGATAGCACAGCGGGTGGGGCGTCTGCCTTGCACGCGGCCGACCCAGGTTCGATTCCCAGCATCCCATATGGTCCCCCAAGCACCGCCAGGAGTAATTCCTGAGTGCATGAGCCAGGAGTAACCCCTGTGCACTGCCGGGTGTGACCCAAAAAGCAAAAAAAAAAAAAAGAAAAAAGAAAAGCAAGTGCTGACACAACAGAGAGCGACTTCCGCAATACAGAGCAATGCATGGATGGAGAGGGCAGAGGGCAGAGAAAGAAACAAGAACGTCGACGAGGGCCAGCGCAGTGCGGCTCAGGGCAAGAGGCTGGGTTCCAGGTCTGCCACGCACATGGACCCACAAGGGCCTGGGGGTTCGCTTGTCTCTGGGATGGCCACAGAAGGAACCCTGGCAAACAGAGACACCGTTTGCGGGACAGTGGGGGGGGGGGGGAGTATCAACGACCTTAAAATAATTATGCAGTATCACGCTAAGCGTCATTCAATGGAAAAAGACAGAACGCAGGACACAGACTTTTCCTTGACTGACAGATTAAGAAGTCGGTCAGGGGACAGGGCCCTGAGTCCTGCTGCTGAAGCGAAAGTGGCGATTTGGGAGGGCAGAAACCCGGTCTGAGGTCTGGCCCTTCCACCTGCCTGGCAGCGCATCCGCGGGTGCAAAGATGGGGCCCAGAGCAAAGGCACCCCAGGGCTGGGCACAGCTAATGCTGAGCAGAACTGTCAGCCGTCACCGAGTCCTCCCAGACAGTGACATCCGGTGGCCAGAGGAATGGAGCTGACCCAAGTATACTTACTCAGAAGATGCTGAGTCCCCGCTCCTGAGGGAATGAGGCAGGGCCTCGAGACGCGGGGCCTGGCACACTCAGAGCAGGCTTCGGGGGCGATGGGCACCTGGGAGGCTCCGCTCCCCCGAGTACCATCTCCAGCGAAGCGGCACCTGGGCACTCAGAAAGGAAGTTGACCGGGCTCCATGCACAGCGCAGGGAGAGAATGTCTGGGAAGAAAAACACACTTTTGCTTCAGCGTAACAGGCCGTTCTCAAGGCTTTTGTTTGCTTGTTTGGGGTCGGTTTTCCGGTTGGCTTTTGAGACACACCCAGCCAGTGCTCAGCACTTAACTCCTGGCTCTGCACTCAGGGATCACTCCTGGCGGTGTTCAGGGGACCATACGGGGTGCCGGGGATGGAACTCAGGTTTGCCGCGAGCATGGCCAGTGCCCTCCCTGCTGTACTATCACTTCAGGCCCTGGACACTCAAGTTCAGAGACCTACTTGCTGTACCACCTTTATGTTTGTTTCTGGCTTTGGGGGAGACACTGGGCGATGCTTAGGGGTTACTCCTGGCTCTGCACTCAGGAGTTACTCGCAATGGTATCTGAGGGATCATATGGGGTGCTGGGGATCGAAGTTGGGTCGGGCATGGGCAAGGCTAGCACCCTACCTGTGCTAATGTTCCGGCCCTACCGCAGGACTCTTAAACCCACCACCTAAAGGCCTATCCATCTGACCATGGATGGTTTGGAGCCTAAGATCAGTGCTAATGAACTTGTCATTTACTGAGCTGAGGTTCTAAAAGGGAGGAAAACCTTTCAGAGGTTTTATTAGAAGTAGGCCGATCACCCTTGTGGCGAATGAAAACAAAAACCCAGAATAAAGAAAAAGACAAGAGAAAAATTGAACATTTTTTTTTAAAAAAGCACAAAACCCCTACATACTAAAATTGTATACATCAAGTATTGGTCCAATCTTATATCAATCTATTTACAATGAACAGCACCATGGTTTTTCTCACCTAGGTTAGTTAAACATGCCCCCAAAATTGTTATTCAAAGTATATGTTCCTTTAAAATAAAATCATCTCTTAAGAGAGCTCCAATCCTCAACATAAAAGACCTTTTACCAAACACAGATTAATGGTATCACCAAACTTAAAAAAGAAGAGTCGAACACTTTTCCCTCTTGGCTGACAAACCACAAGCGAGGTGGCAACCGAGCTGCGGAAGACAAACGAACAGAGAAACTTCCTGCCGTCGGGCCCTTCAGCTGAAACACACGCAGACATCGACCTCGGAACGCAGAACGATGCCTTCCCAATGCACGCAGCTGTTGCCAGCAGACCGAAATTCAATGTAAATCTTTTAAGAATGATTGCATAAAAGAAGGGAGTGGTTAAAGCTCTCAGAAGAAACACTGAAAAGTTACAATTACAGATATATCTAGTCAGGCTATAGGAAATGTAATACCATTTTAAACATCACATTTAAACTAATTAGCACTTCCATTTTGCTGTTAAAATTAATGATGGTGTTTTGTGTCCAAATAGGTGTGGAGGTTTATTTCCCAGCTTCATCAGAACAGCTGAAGTGCCTTCCTGCCTCGATGCTTCCCTGTGGTGGCTCAGTCAACTGGCCTTATGGAACCAGGGTGTTTGTGTGTGGTGCCAGGGAATGACCCCGGGGCACAGACTCGACTACCACTGAGCTACCCCACCCCTGGCACCAACTCTGTAAAGGTTCCAACTGGAACAGAACCTTCAGCAGTTCTATCCCAGTCTTTGTACAAAGGAATCAGCTTCTCTCACCGGGATTTTCATTTCTCTAACTTGCAGATTTGTTATTGTCGTTGTGTGGGGGTCTGAGCCACACCCGACTGTACTCAGGTCTTACGCCTGGCTCTGCATTCAGGGATCACTCCTGGCAGGTTCAGGGTGGGGGGGACTCGTGTGGGGTACAAGGCACCCGGGTTGGCTGCATGCAAGGCAAGAGCCTTACCCACCGTAGGATCTCTCTGGCCCCTGCAGCTGGTTCTTACTTTGCCTCTCTGCTAGGAAAGAGAAGAGGAAAATGATCACCCACCATGACTAGAGGTAACAGTGAAGTGGACAGCACTAAAGTCTAAAAGCAATGTTGTGTCATTTGGTTTCACTGCTGATGTTTAAGTGAACTTGGTAAACTTTTCACACTGTCGGTTATAAGCTGAAGTTTTCTCTAAAAGAATTTAAAGTAGGCACAAATCTCCCAGGCACAGATAGAATAAGGCTCCCTGATGCCCTCCCCTCCGACTGCGGAGGAAGGGGCCAGCATCTCGGAGCACGAACAGCTACCCTGGGCTCCTGCACTCCTGGGCCCAGACGCCTCTGAAAAGTTCCACACAGAGCAGGTCGGCCAGTGAAGGCTCCTAGCAGGGACTCTCACATCTGGACCTTAAGACCGCTTCGATCTACAGGTGTTTTTCAAAGTACCTATGCGGCGAGAGGGCGAGACTTTCCAACTGCGTGTCAGCTGGAAATCATCGCTCTGGCTGCGGGGACTGAATTATTGCCTCGTGTTCTGGGTGGGTGCCACCACCACCAACTGCTGGAAGGCACCAAAGTCGACTGTGAGTGTAAGGAAGGAGCGCGACGCACGGGGACCGGGGGCGCAATGCTGGAACGCCGTTTCTCTGTGTCCACTCCTTTATGGCTACATGGGA